TGTGTGTGGGGTCCTTCACCACCCTCCCCTCCCTGTGCCCCCTCTTCTGTGGAGCAGGCAGGCCAGGCCAGCGCCAGCGGGTCCAGTGGGGGGTGAGCAAGGACACACAGACTCTCAGACAGGATGTGTCCCTTACTCCCCCCTCCCACCCCAATCAGCCAGTGGCGGGCCTTGGCTGCTTCAGGCCTCCACCTGCCTTGCACCGCCCTGCGATGCCTTTGGGTCCCCTATGGTGGCTGCCTCCTCCCCCTGCTCCCTGTCTCCCCCCAGGGCCCTGGCGCCTGTGCCCAGCTTGCTGCTGGGCCTAGAGAGATGAGCAGGCTATCCATGACCTTTGTCCCCTTTTTACATGTTTATTCCAGTTGGGCTCTCAGGAGCCCAAGAGAGGGAGCCTGAGGGGTCAGGGCGGCTGCTCAGTTGACTGTGAGGAGCCCAGGGCCTTTGGGGAGGGGCCATCTAAATGCCCTCCCTGCTCAGCACCCCACTGGGCTCCTGTGCTTGTCCCTCCACCCCATAGGCCTGTGCCCTTCCTTCCCCTGCGTCCTGCTCCTCTGTCAGGGCCCAGCTCAGCACGCCCGCCCCCCAAACAGCGCCAGATGTGGGTGCAGAGGGAGGAGTGAGCACTGGGCTCCCCCGTGGCCTGGACTTTGCCTGCCCCGCACCCCCCTCCCCCCGCCAGCCAGGGCGGTTAGCACCTCCAGCCATGGTGTGTGAGGGAGAGGACCCTCCGGTCAGCCTGTGTTTTGACCTCAGGGAGGTTGTGGGCAGGTGAGGGAGAAACCAGCAAGAGACCGTGCAAATGGGGTGGCCACAGGGCCTCTGACCCGCCACCGTGTCACCACCCTGTCCCTGTCCAGAACCAGTCTGTGTGGCCTTTTGGGTTCTGGGTTTCAAAAAGCTGCCCTCTGACAGGACTTGCCATCCAGAAACTTGATCTATTTTCCTCCAAAGATGTAAAAGAGCTCCACTTGTAAAAATAGCTCACCTGGCTCCGCTGAGCTGGCTGTTTCCATGGCAACCCACTCCTCCCCAGGAGCCCCTCATGAAAGAAGGTCCCAGCCCTGGCTCAGGTGCCCACTGGGCTCTTTAGCCAGAGCGGCTCCTAAAGGGTTCAAGAGGAGCCCCGAGTGGGGAGCAGGGGTGGGGGCACAGTGGCTTCCTCTGGCTCCAAGTCCTTTGTGGTTTGAAGTAAATTCAAGACTGACTATGTGCAGAAGTGAGCTGTGCTGATGAAGGTGACAGGGATTGGATAGGCTGATGCCAGGAAGTCCCGGCTCTGCCCTGTCATGCGTGGGGTGCTTAATGTCCTTTTCCAGAGGAGGCACTCATATCCGCAGCCGGTGTTGCTCAGTGGATAGAGTATCAGCCCAGGGAGTGAAGGGTCCGGGTTTGATTCTGGTCGAGGGCACATGCCTGGGTTGCAGGTTCGATCCCAGCCCTGGTTGCGGTGCGTGCAGGAGGCAACCAATCGATGTGTCTCTCTCACATCCACATTTTTGTTTCTCTCACTCCCTTCCACTCTCTAAAAATCAATGGAAAAATGTCCTCAGGTGGGAACTAACAATATACACATAAGTATGTACCTATCCACCCCCAGTGTACAGACAAGTACACTTAACCAAAGCCGCATGGAGTCGACGCAGGACTGCCTGACCCAGAATCACCTCCTCTGACCAGTCAGGAGGCATATGTGCCAGGCTGTGAGGGCGGGACAGAGGGGCTGTGTGTGCAGGTAGGAGTCTCAGTGATTAACTAGAGAGCTTCTGGGGACCACCTGCTAGGCCAGCCAATCAAATGTCTGATCAAAGACAGAGTGAGAACACAGCTCGGTGTTCAGCTCAGCCACACTCGGTGCGGCCACTCAACAGTGGCCCCATGTCCTTGTTCCCGGGGCCTGTGCTGTGTTACATGGCAAAGGGACCTGAAGGGGTGATCGAGGGTCTTGAGATGGGGAGACTACCCAGGTGGGCCCCATGTAGTCACAAGGGTCCTTAGAAGAGGGAGGCAGGCAGGTCAGAGTCAGAGGGAGACACTGAAGATGCTGCTCTGCTAGCTTTTAGGATGGAGGAAGGGGCCACAAGCCTAGGAATGCAGGCACCCCACAGCCCGGGGCAGCCTGGCGGCCCCTCCTGAGAGCTGCTGTGCGCTAAGTCCTGGCCTTGGAGGGAGAGGGCTCCTCTGTGCCCGGCAGGGGCTTTGTCTGAACCCCGATTGCAGTTGCTGCTGTTCTGGTGTTAACATAGTTGCAAAATTTCTGTAGGATTTTGCCTCTGGCAATAGCTCAGTGTCTGCTGTGTTGCAGTTTGGATTGTTCTTTGTTCCTCGCAGATGTTCATTGTGGCTGAATTTTATTCCCAGTGGGAAGTGGGGACAGAGAGTATATTTGGGTGATAAAAGCTCTAGAATCCCCAAGGCCATAAGCTTGAGAACTGCAGGCCTTAGCAACTTTATACATACAAGCGTGTTCCTTGCTTTGCACTGAATCTGCCGCCAAGGGCGTCCCCGTCAGGGGACAGTGGGCAGTGGAAGCTGAGGAGCTATTTCACGGCCCTTGCTGGGCATCTCCCGTTCGCCCCTCAGAAAGCGGAAGCTCATTCGGTGCCGTCCGTCCTTTTCTCCGATTTGAGGAAGGTCACACGAAGTAGTTCTGTTTGCATCTCTGAGTTTCGTCTATTTTGCCGTGTGGGTTTGCTCCTTGCAAAGGACCCCTGACCCCTAACTGAGACTTGGGGACTCAGCATGGCCAGAGCTCACCATTTGGGAGGCAGAGTCCCCTTCATTGTTCAGCTCTGCTTCCTCCCCGGCGTGGGGTGTTCACGCTGCTGTGTCAGTACTTGTCTGAACAGCCTGAGGCACTGTGGGAGCCTGGGAGGCTGGGCCACATGTCAGCTTCTGAGTGACACCCATCCTCTCCTTGAGGACTGGCCGGGTGGAGGGACAGTGTCGGGGTGAGGCCATCACCGGTCATTCATCGCCTTGGAGCTGGTGGGTGCTGCCATCATGTCCGGGCTGGGTTTAGGGATCCTGTTCTCTCCAGCCCCTGGCCACCCTGGCCCCAGCCCTGCCAGGCCTCTGGCCTCTCTGTCCCTGCCATCTGCCCACCATCCACCTGCCACCATACACTCCCTTTTACCGAGGACAAAGGCCCAGGCTCCTCGGCTGTCAAAGGCCCTCACCCTCTGCGCTCTCCAACTAGCTCCTCTGTGCTCCCCCCTACTTCTCACTTCCTTCTCCCGATCCCGCCATCCTGTGTGTGACCGGCTGCTCCGTGCACGCCACTGCAGACTGACGGTCTGACAGATCTCCTGGGATGTGCCCAAGATCGGTCATTCACTCACCCACCCACTCACTCCGTCTCTTGCCCCACTTCCCCTACCCTCTTCTGCCTCCCTTGTTCTCCTACTCCCACTGTCTGTCTGGAGAGACTCACTCCCCATCCCCAGAGAACAGGCTGTGCTGGTCTGTAATTGCTGACCGGTGTCTTCCCACCCCAAACCCCAGTGACTTGGGAGCAGAACAAGCCATCCCATGTCCCTGGCGGCTGGACTTGAACTTGGACCCTGAGAGCGGCTTACTAGGGCATGCTGCTTAATAACAAGTTAAGTAGATATGTGGTTCCCTCCCTCGCCCTGACTAGTCAGTGGCTGGCCCTTCTGGTTGCTAGACGTACTGAACCTGGAAGGGTGATAGGAAGGTGGCATTGTAGCTAAGAGCCCGAAGTCTGAATTCTAGATGCTCCAGAGCTCCCTCACCTCGTGACCCTGGGCATGTCAGTGACCCTTGCCCCCGCCCCACCTCACTAGGCTTCGTGTGCACTAACAGGCAGTGCCCTTGCCCAGGGCCTGGCACGCAACAAGGCAAGATGCACGTTAGCTGTTGGAGCCTTTCTAAGGCAACCCAGGCAGAGGCGAGGCCTTCTGTGCAGACTGACCTGCAGACCCCGCTCTGCCCCCTGGTTGCAGGGCCCACCCTGGCGACCTGTCCTCCGGGAACCTGCACTTTCTCCCTGGCAGAACGGAAATGATAGTCAAGGTCTGCCCACCACCGACCCCTGCGAGGGGCCGCGTTCACATGAACAAAGCCAGTGGCCCAGGGCCTGGCCCAGCACCTGTGGTCTCCGACACTGGGTCATGTAGGGCTGTAGGTGGGCTGGCTGGAGGACTTAGGGGGAGGCTCCTGCCCCCGGCTCGAAGCTTCTTATGGCCGCCAGGGACAGGCTGTGCAATGCATGCTGCCCCCCACCCCTGCTCAATTGGGCCCCACATCACTGGCTGGCTTGGCACTGCCACCTGCTCGGGGCAGTGACTCAACCGTGGCCACCCACAGACATCCTGCCCCCTGTGGGAAGAAGTCTATTCTTCACAGTATGCACCTTTTTCAAAAGGGTTGTATCTTGGGTTACAGATTTCCTTCATCTAAAGAGGTTTCTTGCTGAGGATTCCGAAACGAGGCATTTCAGAAACCCCTGAGCAGTCACAGGCTCTGGCACCCATAGGCCCTCAGCCTCCTGGTTGTCCCGTGCTCCACATTAAAGCAGGAGCAGGGCCCCGACCTCCTGCCCCTGGGCCCCCTTGAGGCCCCCACAGCTCTGTGACCGCTTGGCTGGCAGCGGGCCAGGACCTCGGGCACCCCAGCCTCCCAGGAGAGGGCACTTGAGGGCACTGGGCAGCTGTGAGAGGAGGGGGTGGGGAGGTCAGCGTTCACCCGGCAGCGAGGCCCTGGCAGCCTGGTGTGGAGGAAGTGGCTCTGGAGGCAGCAGACTAGCTGGGTGGCCCGGGGCGTGACTGCACTTCTTTGAGCCTCAGTTACCTCTTTGGTCCCCCTTTACATCCCTTCCCACTACCCGAGAGGGCCTGTACCCACCCAGGAAGGCCGGGGGACCCCTCACCCTGGCGGGGGGCAGGAACTGGCACCTCGAGGACACTCTCCTCCCTCGAGCCCAGCAGGCCCCTCCTGCTGTCAGTATCAGTGATCACCATGGCAACTGTTTCTCTCTGCAGATGACTCTGGGGACGACGACGAGACTGCCGCCCCAGCTGACAAGACTGAGCTCCAGAGCACCATCAAGAACCTCTCCCTGAAGCTCGATGACCTCAGCACGTGTCACGACCTCCTCGCCAAGCACGGCGCCGCGCTGCTGCGCTCCCTGAACGAGCTGGACAGCCTGCGCATCCCCTACGACAGCAGCGAGAAGCTGAAGGCTGTGAACGAGCGAGCCACCCTCTTCCGCATCACGTCCAATGCTATGATCAATGTGAGTGCCCCCCCATCCCGCTGCCCCGGCCCGGGGCTCCCCCAGAGGGAAGTGGGGGTGGCTGGGGTGCTTGACAGACCAGGTGGCGTCAGGTCGTTTCCCAGAGCTGGTGCCCTCCACTCTGGATCCTGTACGTCACCTCGTCCTCCCAGAGGTCGCTGGGCGAGGACATCCTTTTTAATGGTTGGTGGAAACCGGGGTTGGGTCAGAGAGGGGAAGCCACCCAGAGGTGGTGGCCCGGGTCCAGGGAACATGGTCCAGGTGGCCATCGGGCGACCAGAGACAGTGGGCAGTCCTGGTGCCTAGTGAGCCCCAGGCGGGGTCCAGCCTCCGAAGCCAGGAGGGAGAGCAGAGCAGGGTCGGAGTCGGGACCAGGCTCTTTGCCCGACACCAGGAAACCCAAGGGTGGGGGAAGATGGAGGCTGGAGTCCACCTGGGATCTTGGCCTGAGGTGGACTGGGCTGTGGGGCTAGCGGACGCCCCACCCACCCTGCTCCCGCTGCACAGGCTCGGGACTGGAGCGGCCGGGGTACCGGGGCCTGGGGCTGAGGAGGGACACCCTTTCCCAGAGACAGCCACAGGTCCTGGCGCTCAGCAGGTGCGAGGACGTGCCCATGTGCTCAGGGTGTGGTTGGGCCGCAGCTCTGGGGCTGCCTGTGTGTTGGCCCCATCGTCAGTCTGCGCTTGCGTTTTCCTCTGACCACCCCTCTCAGCTCACTGGGCTCCTTATTGCCCAACTCTAGGGGCCCAGGCCCCGCATGCCCTGAACATGGATTAAGCATTTAACGACGCAACAGTGTTCCTGTTTCCCCACCCACCCCAGGAGCCCTGCTCCCCCCACCCCCCGCCATCCGCTGAGGCGGAAGCCACTTTGTCTGAGTAAGCAGTTTTGGTTTTTCCCCGATAATGAGCCTCTCAGCTGGTGTGAGGCTCGCCTGTGTGTGAAGCCATGGAAGCAGCCTGCCGCTCCAACTGAGGCTGGGTTATGCACGTAGGAAAGGAGAGACTGCCGCCAGCCAGAGCCCACAGGGACACACATCCTCCAAAGGGCCCCAGGCAAGCAGCAGCAGCAGCAACACACAGACACACACACACACACACACACACACACGCGCGCGCGCGCGCGCGTCCCCACCCGACCACTGCTGACCATCACCCCGTCTGGTCCCACGTCCCATGGGTTTTCTACTGAAGCATCTTGGCAGGTCCTCCCTGCGAGGCCAGGGCAGTCCCCTGGCAATCCCTGGGGCCTGCAGCTGCCATGCCTGGCACCGTGCCCAGCACACGGGAGCCTCAGTGAATGAGCGCGGCTGTGAAAGATCGTAGGAGCAGTGAATGAACCGCTTAGCGTCTGCAAATTCCCTTGCGGGTGATTCTGTGAGTCTGATCAAAGGCAGCCCAGCAGTTCCCTGGTTGGATTACTGTTTGGGTAACTGCGCATTAGCCTGTCATTTAGCAGGAAGCTCCCAGCACTAGACATGACTGGTCTTAGACTGAGCCTGAACCGCCGCTGGCCGGGGTGTGGGGACCGGAAGCCTGGAACCCGGGATGTGCTGATGTGGTAGCAATGGATCAGTCGTGTGGTTTAGGTGAATGATGGAATGGATACATTACCATCACGTGCTTTGGGTATTCATTTTTTTTAAGTGAAAAAAGTAAATTCAAGTTTTACTCTTTTTCCTATAACTTTATCTTTGTGGTGGAGCAGGGCCCTGGTCTGAAGGACAGGCCTCCGGGACGGTGGTGGTGGGCCAGCAGCAGCCCGCCCACTTTCTCCCATCACTGTACTTTTCACCTCAGCCACGTGAAGTTGGTGTCCTTAAGCTTCCTCCTCCTCCTCCTCATTTGTACTGTTTAGGTGCCACCCTGAGGCCCAGAGCAGTCATTTTGCCCAAGGGTCACAGGCCCAGCTGTTGCATGAGCACTTGGGGTCGCAGCCCTTGGTCCCTGTGTGACCCCCAGGGTCCGTGCTCAAAGCCCGGGGCTCCATCACCTGTCACCAGGCCTGGCACACGGGCTCCTGGTTGGCCTGGGCTCCCCATGGCTTGCCCTTGAGTTCTGGCCTTGCGGGCCCTGCCCTGGGCGGAACCCACAGTACTGCATGGTCACTCTAGGAGCAAGCCTGCCCTGGGTGGTCTGACTGTCCCGTACCCCCTGCCAGGTGCCCCTCCTGGCCTGTGGAAGCAGGTTCTGTCTGTAGGCCCGGGGGCCAAGCATGGCCAGGGAAGTGCTGCTTCTGTGACTTTCGCTTCCACTTCCCTGCCGCCTGCGCCCTTGGGACCTCCCTGAGCCGCCCAGCACATCTCCTCCTCTCGGCCCTCCCAGTCGGAGGCACTGAGGTCTGTGCGGCAGGTGGTGGCGGCGTCTCCCGCAGTGCTGGGCCCCGGAGGTGGGCTGAGCGAGGCAGACTGCTCCTGACCCAGATCCACAACTGAACTGGGAGAGGCGCCTCAGAGTTGGTGACTCTTGCAGAGCCTGGACTTGGCCCCTCCAACTACACGACCCCCGTGACCCTTAGGAGCCGTGAGTTCAGGTCAGCCCAGTTCACCCCAACCAGCTCTTTGCGACAGGGCAGCATGCGGCTGCTGGTTGACACTGAGGCATGGAGGCCCTCCATGACCCCTCCATGGTCCGGCCAGGCCCTGTAACCATGGAGATGACGGGGTGTGTTGGAGGTTAAAAGACCTTAGGAGGAAAGAGCAGGTTGCTGGGGTGGAACAAGAGGTCATGGAAGCAGACTGGCAGGAGGAGGGGGGACCTGGAGGGAGGGGGGAGGAGAGCCTGAAGCAGGCAGGCTGGGGTGACTTGGAGGGAAGCCTGGGAAACAGGAACCCGGTCAGGAGACCTCGCATCACGTGTGACCTGAGAGTACTTTGCCTTTCACTTTCAGTGAAGCTCGTGCAGCCAAGGAAAAGGGTCCAACCCACCTTTTAGCTCAGCAGCCACTGCCTGGAAGCCGGGCTATTGTGAGGCAGAGGCAGGTGTCAGAGCCCCACTGGGAGGTCCCTGTTGTTACCTAAGGGTGAGTGGCAGCTGGGCGTTGAGGGAAGGGCCAGCGGAGTGGCTGTGGGGGTGACAACAGGCCCCAGGAAGGCCTGTAGGTGGGGGTCTAGGCTGCTGGGAGAATAGGGGAGACCTCCTCCTGACCCCGCCCTGGCCCTCACGTGCTGGTCGGTCCCACCGGTTTGGGCAGGATGCAGGAGGGCCCTTCCCAGGAACAGGTTTTGTGCAGCCAGCTGGTGAGCAAAGCCGGTCTGTGGGCGAGCCCCTCAGGAGACCAAAGATGGTCGAGGTGCCCAGTGGGGGCAGAAAGCAGCAGGGGTTCTGGCTAACGGGGAGGTTGCCACCAGGCCCATCTCCAGGGCCCGATGCAGCGGACACTGCCCCGAGGAAGGCCCGTGCGGTCACATTTTGGTGTGTGCAGTAGAGCTAGCTGGACGGGACGGTGCAGATCCTGACAGCAGGGACTTAGGAAAGTCTGGGCAGGAGTGGCTCCCAGCACAGCCAGAGCCAAGTGCAGCGGGGGAGGCAGAGGCGGGGGGTGGGGGAAGGTCCAGGCCAGAGTGGGACACCTGGGCAGAGGGGGGCAGGGTGGGGGCAGGTGCAGAGGCAGCAATTCAGGGCCAAGGCCCCAGGTCAGAGGCATCAGAGGAATAAAGACCCAGGTCAGCAGGAGCCATTGGCTGCTGGATACACTGAGGCTTCTCTGAGCCCCATTTGGAGACCATGGGGGCTGCTTGCGCCCACCCAAGCGAAGCAGTGGTGAGGGCCCCGGAGCCCCGCCTCGTTCTTCCGGGGCCCGTGGGAAGGTTCCTGTCCAGCTGACCACTGTTCTGCTGCCGGAGAACCTGCTCATTCGGGTCCTGGGGAGAGGAGTAAAAATAGATTCTGGAACTGTCTAAACTCAGCTGGCAAACTGGTGGCCAGATGGTGCTCGGTCCTGTGTGCACGGAGTAAGCTCTTCTGAAGGTGGGAAGGGCTATTTTAAAGTCTGGATCCCAGTGAAAGTTGCCGCCTGGTGCCTCATGGAGTCACATCGAGGCGAGGCTGTGACTGCCCTCGGTGGTGGGAAGGGCTGGCTGGCCCCTGCGAGTGCCGGGCAGCCTGTGTTGAGTGCCAGGTGAGGAGTGGGCACAGGCAGATGGCCAGCCCGGCCCTGGGAGCTGCTCGGCCTCGAGGGCCCAGGAGGGTGGATATACAGGATGGGGGCTCGGCTGGTCCTGACCCAGAGGGACCCCATCTGAGTCTGGCACTCCCATCCCCGCTTCAGGGCCCCCCCTTGGCCTTGAAGGCCCGAGCTGGCCCTGCTTCTGGTAGTGTGGCATCCTCCAAGCCCTGCTCGCCTGCCGGCATTTGGGGAGTGGCAGGGTCGCTGTCAGGATTAGGATTAGGAACACAAAAGCGATTAGCTTGTCCTCCTCCCTCCTGGGCGAAGGCTTCCAGCTCAGGAGCTCTGCGTGGCAGCAGCTTCCCTTGGAGCTCACACCTCGGCCAACAGTTTCCTGTCTGTGGGCAGCTCTCAGCCTCTCACCAGGCCAGGCTCTGGGACGGGGAGTCCCGGCCCCCAGCCGCTGCTGAGCAGGGCCCGCCCATGTGGGGACCCCTTTCTGTCCTGGGCCTTTTGGTTCTCACTCCCGCCCTCTGGAGGTAGAAGCCCACAGCTCTTCATCTCAAGGACCTCTGTAGCCTCGGTGGGAGGAAGGCCATCACCCTGACGGGACTCCATAGGAGTCCTGAGTTTCAGCCTCTGTTTGTCCCACGAGGACTCCAAGGCCCAGGAGGTCACAGTCCTGCCCAGGGTGGGCAGTGAGGCCGTGCCTGTGAGGGGCCCGGATGCTGGGCTCCTTATCCTGCCTGCTCCCTGCCCCGTGCATGGTTCAGCAGCAAGTGTCGTGTGGGCAGGGGCCTCCGGGTGCCCCACTCTGAGAGCGTGGCAGTGTCTCAGGGGAAATGTGACTGTGGGTTCGGAGCCTGGACCAGCCAGGCCTTCCCTGGATCCCCCGCCCCAGCAGCCCCCCTGCTGGGCCCCAGGCTAATCCAGCTTAGTGGGCAAACAGTAGTCCACAGCCCAGCTCAGCATTCCCCGGGCGGGCGCAGGGGGCAGGAGCCTTTGTGCTGTGTGGCCAGGATGGGGCTGGGAGAAGGGTGGCAGTGCCAGAGGAAGCCCTGGGCGTTGGGGACGGACACCAGGTAGGTGCACTGGGGCTCTCCATAGCCCCCAGGTGACTGGAGCAGCTCATCTACTGCAGGTACCCGCCTCCCCCCCACCCCCGCCCCGCCCAGTGGCAGTGGTGAAGGCCCTGGTCCAGCTCTGTGAGCCCTTAGATCAGCGGTTCTCAACCTCTGGGTCACGACCCCTTTGGCGGTCGAACGACCCTTTCACAGGGGTCGCCTAAGACCATCCTGCATATCAGATATTTACATGACGATTCCTAACAGTAGCAACATGACAGTTATGAAGTAGCAACGAAAATAATTTTATGGTTGGGTCACAACATGAGGAACTGTATTTAAAGGGCCAGAAGGTTGAGAACCACTGCCTTAGATACTGTGGTGCAGCAGCCTCAGCCCCGTCCCCTCTGTAGGCAGCTGTGACGTTCTGATCTTGTATCCAGCCCAGCCACATGTGGCCTGTCCCAGGGGTCGCACTCCTGTCCCCTTGCTGCTCCTTGCCAGCCTGTCCTGCAGGTGCTGGGAGGCAGGCAGGGCCGAGTCCTGGTGCTTCAACAGGGTTCTTCCCCAACATCCTTGCTCATGACCCGCCTGGGACCCCGCTGTGTGGCCTCCGAGCTCAGTTTCACTGCCTGTGGAATGGGGGTGGGGGACCCTGTAAGCGTCTGGAACATTTCTAACCGCCTCCCCACCACCACCTCTTCCACCTGCTGGTGCGAACCCAGCAAAGAGGTGCCTTCGCGTTGGGGTGGTGGTCACTGGTGTGCAGTCAGGGGCCCCACCTGCAGGCTGCAGTGGTGAGGAAGAGATGGGAACTGGGGGCGAGGTGGAGGCCACTGTAGGACCCAGAGGATAAAGGCTTGGCTCCACAGGGGGCTCACCCAGGCCCACCTCGAGGGTCCCCACACTGCAGGGGAGTCCGTGAGTGCCGCTCCACAGGAGCAGGGGCGCCCTATGGATCCATTATTTGCAAACTCAAAAGAGCCCCCGACTTGGGACGGCCCCGGGCGCAGGCGCTCCCCTCCCGGGAGCCTGGTAAGCACAAGGGGACTGCTTTCCTTCCGAGGTCTCCCAACCTGTCAGGATAAACCCCGGCCCTTCTGGAGAAGCGGGTTATGGTGGCTTAGGTGTGGCCACATGGGACCCGCACCTTGACCTTGAGGGAGGGTGGGAGGCCCCTGGACTGAAGTGGCCCAGGGTCTTGCAGAGGAGCTGCTGGGAACGGAGCCTCTGGTTCCTGATGTGTGAATGGGGATGACCCCCTCCTCCCACCTGGAGGATGTTGCTGGGTGAGCTGAGACCGGGAGCTGTGAGCACAGGGTCTGTCAGACACTGTCGTCTCACAGAGAGGACGCCGCTGGGAGGGGCGCCGCCAGAGCAGTTCCCAGCCAGCTCTGAGAAAGCCAGGTCCCCTGGCAGCCCAGGAGGCAGCAGAGGGGTTGGTGACCGCCAGGGGTGCAAGGGGCGGAGACAGGACCCGTCTTCCTCACTGGGCCACAGGCTCTGTGCTCACACACTCTCCCTCCCAGGCCTGCAGGGACTTTCTGGCACTAGCGGAGGGACACAGCCGGAAATGGCAGCGGGCCCTGCAGTATGAGCAGGAGCAGCGCATCCACCTGGAGGAGACCATCGAGCAGCTGGCCAAGCAGCACAACAGCCTCGAGCGGGCCTTCCGCAACAGCCTGCCCGGCCGGTCCTCCGACCCCAACAAGAACTTCAGCCAGGGTGAGCGCTCGGCCGGGCCTGGCCACTCCAGCCGCAGCCTCCCTCCCGGCCAGCCTCTCCCAGCTTTGTGTCCCATGCCAGCCCTCATCTGGCCAGTCTCCCCGCGTCTAGGTTCCACTTCTCAAAAGACAAGTTCAGTGACCCCACTGTCCCCTCGGTGCCAGGGCTGGCAGGCGGCTGCCTGAGGCTAGGAGTCATGGTGCCCTGGGAAGGGCAGAAAGGGCAGCTAGGCCACCCCCAGACCGAGCAGCATGTAGAAGGATGGGGGGCGGGGCTTTGGAAGGAAGGAGGCTTCTGAGCCAGAGCAGTGACAGGAAAGCACATTCGGAGAGTGGATGAGGGCAGCCACGGCAGGTTCATCAGGACCAGGCCGCCGGAGTTGGGGGGCCCGGGGGGACACAGGATCAGAGTATGGGGTGCAGGTCCTGTCGGCTCTGGACCCCTCAGGTGGGTGCGACGAGGCTCTGTGAAGCTGCAAATGACGCAGCAGCTCTGCGTGTCCCTAGAAAGCCTCTTGACTTCCAAGGAAGAGGACAGTGAGGAAGATGAGGATTCGGAGTATTTCGACGCCATGGAAGACTCCACCGCCTTCATCACTGTGATCACCGAGGCCAAGGACGACAGGTGGGCTCCCGGGGCGGCTGCTTTAAGTCTCGTGTCAGACGGTATTTCTGCTTAGGTTGGGCCTATTGTTCCTTAAGTCAAAAAAGGCCCCAATCGAGTTTGTATCAGGGTTTCATTTTCAATGGACAGAGAACAGGGCACTCACTGGCTGGAGGCGGTTCCGGCCTGGGGAGGGGGAGAGCTGGGACCCCTGCGGCTCCTCCAGAGGTGCCCCCCTGGCTTCACCTGGTCCTGGGTCGGCCTGGCCTCAGGAGGCTGTGCTGACACCTCGGGAGGGTTTCTGAGCATCTGCTGCCACGGGCCTCAGAGAGTGGAGCCCCTCCAACCTGCCCCGGTCCCGCAGCCCCACTGAGCATCCTGAACCGAGGCGCCCCATTGGAAGGAAGCCTGGGGCGGCTGCCCCTCCGATCTCACTGGAGGGTCTGCTAGAAGGTGCCAGGCCCTGGGGAGGCCTCGGATTTGTAAATAACCTGCCCCCACTGTGTTTCCTGCAGAAAAACTGAGGGTGGGACCACAGGCCCTGTGGACTGGACCCCGGCAGACAATGTGAGTGACGGGGAGGCCCTGAGGGGGGCTGAGGGGAGGCCAGCACCTGGAGCTCGGGGCCCTGGGGCAGGCCCAGTGGCTTGCTGCCTTCCGTCCCACCAGCAGCTGGTCCTCAGACTCCCTGGGTCGGGGGTGAGGACGAGGCCTGGAGGGCCACGTGCTCTGGCCTCTGCCGATGCACACACTCTGCTTCTCTGGCAGGTACAGGATGGCGCTTCACTCACACCCAAGGGCCCCCCCAAAGTCAAGAGGCGTGTCCGCATCCCCGACAAGCCCAACTACAGCCTTAATCTCTGGAGCATCATGAAGAACTGCATCGGCCGGGAGCTCTCCAAGATCCCCATGCCGGTAGGGCTCAGGCAGGGGGCCTCACTGGGTCCCCTGGGAGTCGCCTTCTCTGCCACCTGAGGCGCGAGCACACACTGTTGAATCATGTCATTGCCGCCATCCCCCAAGAGCAGAGGTCTCAGGGACCCCCATGTCGCTGCACCTGACGGGGCCTTATGATGTCCTGGCTGTCCGGACCCGTCCGTGGGACTGGCAGGCTTGGGCTGTGTGTGTAGACAGGTAGGCCCTCCCCCAGCGAGGTCACACAGCAGGCTCAGGGCACGGGCGGGCACCCTCTGGCTGCCAGGCCACAATGGCATCTCCAGAGGAGGAGCTTGGAGGTTCTAGGCCAGACTTGGTTCCACTGTGACCCCAGACAAGTCCCTTCACCTCCAGCCTCTGCGTCCACAGCTGCAAAGGGGGGAGATGAACGGCACCCACTTCTGAGTGTCAGGTAAGACCCTGCCCGACCCAGGGTCACAGCCCAGCACCACAGCCGGCAGGTGCTCTCAACTGAAAACCTGCGTAATAGCTCAATAGCTCAGAATATGAGCAAGACCAGACCCACTTTGTCCATCATTTACTCATTCCCATGGCTCAGTGCTGAACAAGGCAGAAGCCCTGGCGTTGACATCCTGGGGTGGGAGAAGGACAGCAAAGTAGTGCAAGTGTGCGGGACAGCAGGTCAGGCGCGGTGAGGGCTGTGGGGGAAACGAAGGTGGGACTGCAGTGCTGGACCAGTTGTCAGAGGAACCTCCCTGAAGGTGCTGTCTGAGCAGCAATGTCCCTGCACATCTGAGAAAAGCCAGGGTGCTACGCTGGGAGCAGCTGGCTCAGCTGGACCCCAGCCGGACCCCCACCCTCCCACAGGTCAACTTCAACGAGCCCCTGTCCATGCTCCAGCGGCTGACGGAGGACCTGGAGTACCACCACCTGCTGGACAAAGCGGTGCACTGCACCAGCTCGGTGGAGCAGATGTGCCTGGTGGCCGCCTTCTCCGTGTCCTCCTACTCCACCACTGTGCACCGCATCGCCAAGCCTTTCAACCCCATGCTCGGGGAGACCTTCGAGCTGGACCGCCTCGAGGACATGGGCCTGCGCTCCCTCTGCGAGCAGGTGAGGCCACACACTCCTCCAGGCCTGGGGTCAGAGGCGACGAAGGGGACCCAGCCTCTGGTCCTGGCATGCCCATGCCCATGCCCATGCCCAAGGAGCTGTCAGGCCGCGGTCCAGTTAGGCAGCTGGGTCTCCTGCCTCTGGGCAGGGCGTGGGGAGGTTAACTGGAAAGTGGGCACCGAAGCCCGTCGCAGGCACCCTGACATCCTGAGGCGTAGGCTCTGCCATCACCCCCACCTCACAGCCTGAGAGCCGGGTGTGGAGACGCCCAGCCCTTGTCTCACAGTCACAGGCTGCACCTGCTGCTGTGCCCTGGCTTTTCCTTGGAGCACTGTCTCTCCGGGGCCTCCAGGGGTCTGTAGCCCTTGATGCCTGCCGGCTGCCTGGGGGCAGGCCTGGCCCGGGTCCCGCAGACACTCATGTGCGGGTCTGTCGCAGGTGAGCCACCACCCTCCATCAGCCGCGCACCACGTGTTCTCCAAGAACGGCTGGAGCCTCTGGCAGGAGATCACCATCTCCAGCAAGTTCCGGGGCAAATACCTCTCCATCATGCCGCTAGGTGAGCCGGGCCTGTGCCCTCCCAGGGCAGAGTTCTGGATAAGGGGGAGGGTTTTCCCACACCCAGAAGCCAGCCTGGAGCCTCCCTGGCCGTGTCCCTTCCCCTCTGTGTGAATACAGCTCCCAGGCCCCTGGGATGGTGGGGCCCAGCCTGGGGAGCCATGACCGCCGACCCCGTGTCTCGCCTCCAGGTGCCATCCACTTAGAATTTCAGGCCAGTGGGAATCACTACGTGTGGAGGAAAAGCACCTCAACTGTGCATAACATCATCGTGGGCAAGCTCTGGATCGACCAGGTCAGGGGTGCCCTCGGGAGCGGGGGTCTGGCCTGCGGATGGGCCGCTGACCACCACCCTCTCTCACCAGACGGGGGACATTGAGATTGTGAACCATAAGACCAAGGACCGGTGCCAGCTGAAGTTCCTGCCCTACAGCTACTTCTCCAAGGAGGTGGCCCGGAAGGTAAACAAGGCCGCCTCGCAGAGCCCTGAGGGTCGGCCCAGAGAAGGCCTTGCCCACGCCGGTCCTGCCATGTCCACAGGTGACAGGCGTGGTGAGTGACGGCCAGGGCAAGGCCCACTACGTGCTGTCAGGCTCGTGGGACGAGCAGATGGAGTACGCCAAGATCATGCAGAGCAGCTCCGGCAGCCCCAGCGTGGACGGCAAGCATAAGACCGTGTACCAGACGCTGCCGGCCAAGCTGCTGTGGAAGAAGTACCCGCTGCCGTGAGTGGGGGGACCGCAGGGACTTCTGAGGGCAGCGGGCAGGGTGAGGGGACAGCAGGGGACATTGCCAGACAGGAAGCCAGCGGCACAGGGGTCAGAAGGGCTCAGTCCACATGTGGGCAGGAAGCCGTGCTGTGTGGCTGACATCACCCAGGGTAGCAAGTCCTATGCAGAGCCTTCCAACAGCTCATGGGACAGAGTCCCCGTGGTCCAAGGAATGGAAACGACACAGTGGCACACAGACTCCAAAGACAGGAAACGTAAGATCGCTGCACTCGAGACCTCCTCAGAAGGTCTAAGGCAGTACGGCCCGCGGGCCACATGCAAATACAAATATTGTATTTGTTCCCGTTTTGTTTTTTTACTTCAAAATAAGATATGTGCAGTGTGCATAGGAATTTGTTCATAGTTTTTTTAACTATAGTCCGGCCCTCCAACGATCTGAGGGACAGTGAACTGGCCCCCTGTTTAAAAAGTTTGAGGACCCCTGGTCTAAGGGAACCCATCCGCTAAGTCCAGGCCAGCAGAAATCATCAGAACCAGGCAGGGAGACAGGCCTGGGAAGAGGAGCCGCTCGAGGGAGGGGAGCAGGTCCTCACAGTGCCCTGCGGACTCCGGTCTGAGAGCAGGACCTGGCCTGGAGCGAAAACAGGAGAGAGTTTTCCACGCGTAGATCTGCACAGTGGGACTGTTTAAACCGAATGAAGTGAAAACACTGAGCCGCCAGGTTTCAAAAAGAGATTACTGCCCGGGGACCAGCAGACTGACAGCTCACCTCCTGGGCAGTAAGGGAGCTTGGAGGCCAATGAGATCTCCCGGGAGCGTAGACGCGGCTGGAATTAGACACCCGCTGAGAACATCTTTACAGGGTGAAGCGGAAATAGACATTTTCCGACGAATGAATCCCAGATGGAAGATCTAAGAATGTGAACCTAAGTGAACAGTGAATACACACAAATAACCACATGGGGTTTAAAATGTAAACATAAAACGTAACTGCGATGATGTAAGTCAAAGAGGGGTGAAGGGAAGGAAACTTCTTGAAGACCCTCATGCTGCCCAAGGGGAGGGTCCAGATGTGTGTGAAGCATGCATAGTGTGATTCCTAGAGTGACCACTAAGATGGTATATGTAATTGGAATCCCAGTAGGAAAGGAAAAGAAAGAAAAATGGAGAGAAGTAAAGCAATGAAAGACCCCAGGTTGAAGGGGCCTTAGAGTCGCAGAGACAGGAGGGAAAGACAGACTTCTGCCCAGACCGCACTATGGCGCAAGGTTCCAGTCAGGGAGGGAGAATCAGATTGACATCAGATTTTTCAGCAGCTGATGTTGGGTTAATATTTTCAAAGTAAAGAAGAAAAGAAAATAGGTACATTTTCTGTTCAGCCAAGTTCCCATTCAAATATGAGGGCATGACCACAGCTCGGCAGGTTTGATGCCCCAAAACCCACAGTGAAAAAGGTACTGGGCGCAGCACTTCAAAGGGGGGATGTTCCATAATCCAGCACCGAAAGGGGGGACAACGCCACGTGCTGGGGTTTGGGGAGACAGAGAAGGATGCGAAGGAATCCAGATAAATGCACCCTCTGAAAGAGAAATACATCGTGGAAATGCTAACCAATAAAACCATAATGACGAGCCCTAGCTGGTTTGGCTCAATGGATAGAGTGTCGGCCTGCGGACTGAAGGGTCCCAGGTTCGATTCTGGCCAAGGGCACATGCCTGGGTTGCGGGCTTGATCCCCAGTGGGGGACGTGCAGGAGGCAGCCGATCAATGATTCTCTCTCATCATTGATGTTTCTATATCTCTCTCCCTCTCTCAAATCAATAAAATATATTAAAAAAACAAACAAAAAAACCCCATAATGACGGTATTAATATCAGGTAAAGGAGTCTTCAAATCAAAAGCATTATTAGGGATGGAAGAGTAGCTACAGGTTAAAAAGTTGATTTCCTTAAGAAGGTATAATAGTTTCAAACATACATGTAATGAAATAGCCTCAACAATATATACAAAGCACATGTTGTTAGTAAAGGAGGAAGTGGATAAATCCGTCATCACAGTGGGAAACTGAAGAGATTTCACTGATAAATTTGAACAAGTGGACGAAATGGGGAAACTCCCAGGAGTATGGGAGCAAAACAGACGCAGCCAGCGGGGCGGAGAGGGAAGAGCAGTCAGGTGGAGCAGTGGGGTGTTGCCAGCTCCTCGGGGTGTGGGCTGGAAGGGGAGATGGGCTGGGGTGGAGATGGGCTGGGGCCCGGGTGGGCTCGGGGGACAAACCATGTCATCGCCTCCGCAGGGAGAACGCCGAGAACATGTACTACTTCTCCGAGCTGGCCCTGACCCTCAACGAGCACGAGGAGGGTGTGGCGCCCACGGACAGCCGGCTGCGGCCCGACCAGCGGCTGATGGAGAAGGGGCAGTGGGACGAGGCCAACACGGAGAAGCAG